AAACTTCCCCAACCAAAGACCTTAGAGGAACCCAATGCCTCAACCTGCCTGAAGGCCAGGGGTGTGGGGCGACTCGGATGACCTCTAGGTAACCAAGGAGGCCATGCCAGCCTTGACCCAAGAGCTCTGTGTCAGCCCCCTTCAGTGCACACCTGCAGGGGCTGCCTCTGGGAACAGCGGCCCAGCAGGCACTCGGACCTGTGGACAGTGGCTTCCTTTGAAAAGGAACCGCAACAAGCAGCCAGTCCTAGGCTGAGAGCCTACAGTCACTCCCGGAGGTGAGGGCTGCGGGGTGGGGTGGGACAGCCCCGGGGCGCAGGAGGCAGGGTCACCCAGGGCCTGTGGTCTCTGGGAGAAGGACACAGGGTGTCGGGCAGCGAGGGGCCATCTGGGCAGGGGCACACGCTGGACAGGCAGGGCTCATGGTTGGGGTTACCCTGGGATGGGCTGAGGTAGTTCCCAGAAATGGAATTAAAGCAGGCGGAGCAATGGCAAACCCAAGGTGTGACAGGCCCAAGGGTACCGAGCTGAGAGTGATGGGGGGTAGAGCGGGGATCAGCAGGGAAATGACAGGTAGAGGGTGCCAGAGACCAGTGGCTGTGGGACGGGAGGTCTGAGGGGACTCTAGGAACAGGTGTCAGTGACAGTGACAGGAGGACCCCAGCCCACTTGTATCTGAGGAGGTGGGCACAGAGGGTGTGGCCCGGTTCAGAGAATTCAAGGAGATGCACAGGGCTTTCCATGTGTCCCTGTGTCCCGGGCACTGGTGCCAGTGGATGGGGGTGGGAGCATGTCCAGAGCCGACAGGGCTGAGGGTCTCAGGGGTAATAAGGGCTGAGTGAACCCTAAAACCCATTTCAGAGGGCTGACAACATGGAGCCTCAGACCCCATATCCAGGGGCTGAGAGAATTCAGAGGACGATGAACCCTACGTGTGTGGGGGCTGAGGAAACCCTCATCGAGCCCAGGAACCCCCAGTTCTGTATCCAGGACTGAAAAGGCCCCAGGTGAACCCAACCCCTGTGTCCTGGGCTGATGAGGGCCCAGGTCACCTGACCCTTTGTCCAGGCCTGAGGCTCCAGGCTGACCCTGACCCCTGTGTCCTGGGCTGATGAGGGCCCAGGTCACTTGACCCTTTGTCCAGGCCTGAGGCCCCAGGCTGACCCTGACCCCTGTGTCCTGGGTTGACAGGGGCTCAGGTCACCTGAACCTCTGTCCAGGGCTGACAAGGCCCCAGGTGAACCCAACCCCTTTGTCCTGGCCTCTGTCCAGGGCTGACAAGGCCCTAGGTCACCTGACCCCCTTGTCCTGGCCTGATGAGGCCCCAGGTTGACCCTGTGGCCTGGGTTGATGAGGCACCAGGTGGCTTGACGCCTGTGTCCTGGCCTGATGCGGGCTCAGGTCACCTGAACCTCTGTGTCCAGGGCAGACAAGGCCCCAGGTGAACCTAACCCCTTTGTCCTGGCCTGATGAGGCCCCAGGTTGACCCTGACCCTTGTGTCCTGGGTTGATGAGGCCCCAGGTGACGTTGACCCCTGTGTCCAGGGTGGACAAGGCCCCAGGTCACCTGAGCCCCTTGTCCTGGGCTGATGAGGCCCCAAGTAATCCTGACCCCTGGTCCTGGGCTGACCCCGCCCCCGTCCCCGTCCCGGTCCCTCTACCCAGCGTCCCGGGCTGACCTGGCTGGGCCCCCACTCACCTCTGGCGCTGCCCGTCCAGGCCGAGGCCTGTGGGCGCCTGCGTGGGGCTGAGCAGGCCCTGGGGCGCGGGGGTCCTGGCGGGCAGCCCGGGCAGGCCGGCGGGGGGCTCCGGCGGCGGCGGCGCTGGCGGTTCGCGGGCCTCGGCGGGCGGCGGTGGGGGCTTCTCTCCGCCCGGGCCCAGGCTCGGGGGCCGCCCGTCCAGGGAGATGTTGTTGAGGAAGAAGAGCGCGGCCTGGCGGCGCCGCGAGTCCCCGCGCCTCCGCAGCGCCTGCGGCGGGGCCCGAGCGGCCGAAGTCGGCGCAGCGGGAGGCGGGGGCCCGGCGGAGCCGGGGGCTGGGCCCGGGGCTCCACCGGCCGCGGCCGCGGCCATCCTCAGACTGCGCCCGCTGCCGCGAAGCGCCCCGCCCCCTGCCCGCGCGCCCGCGCGCCCGCCCCCCATTGGCCGCGGCGCGCCCACATGCAAATATGTCTCCGTCGCGCTCGCCTATTGGTCAGCGATGTGCCGCGCTCAGGGCGCTCCCCTGGGTCCTAGAGACCGTCGGGCGCGGCGGCAGGGAGTCGGGAGCTGCGCGCCTCCCCGCCGGTTCGAGTCCCCGTCTTGGGAGCTGCGGCCGCGGGGCTCCGGCCTTCTGTTCCCTTTGCCGTACGGCGGCTTTCACGGTCAGCCTTCATCGAACGCGCATTTTAAGGCTCCGGACCCAGGGCGGCGTGGGCGAGGCCCAGCACACTTTCCTGTCCGGAGGTGTGTCTGGGCGGTGCTTCAGCAAGCGCAAGGTGGCCCGTCGAGGAGCCCCACCGCTTCCCGGAAGGGCCGGCGTTCTACCTGGCCTCCTTCATTGACAGAAGGGACTGAGGGTCTGAGTGGAGAAGGCACCTGCTTGTGATTGAAGCCTGGGCAGAGTCCTGCACTTCCTGCAGTAGCAAAGTGACCTTGAGCCTGGCTTGTGCCCATGCCTTTTTCTGTCCCCGGGTGTCCCTGACTTCAGAACCTGCGAGCCGGCGCCACCGAGATGCTCAGGGCCTGCCTCTGGAGCCCGGGAGCCTGTCTGCGGTCTGGAGGGGAACCCACTGTATCTTTGTGGAGGGACTCAGGGCCTTGCACCTACCTGTGTGCCACCTGCCTGCTCTGTCCAGCTTTCTTTTGTGGGTTTACTTATCTTTAAAGAGGGACAGTGATTTCAGCCTCAGGGTGTTGTCAGGATGAAACTGGCTCAGTGAGGGGATCGGGCTGTGGCTGGAGGCCAGACACATGCAGTGGTCAGCCTGCAAATGCACTGCAGTACCCCCGCACCTGCCAGCATGCGCCCACCCTCTCCTGTGCTGGGTGCTGGGGAACCGGTGGGACCGACAGGCACAGCGCTGGCCCTAGGAGCACCTGGTGTGTGGGCAGGCAGCATGATGGTCAACAAGACAGTGGGTGAGTGGGCAAGACAGGGTCTTCATCACCACCCCTAGCATGGGCCCCTGCCCTTCAGGCCCCTCCCTGCCTCCCACCTGCCCTGCTCCCTCCTGTGGGCCTTCACAGGCCACCACTGGGGCTGACGCAGCACACAGCACCTCCGCTTCCTTTCCCTCTGCCCTTCCAAGTTGGCCTCCAAGGCCTATGCCAGGCCTAGGGGAAGGTGGACAGCTGTCCCGTCCGGGAGAATGTGGGGCTGGGTGGCACGGCGGAGGGGCGGCTGCGGATTGTGGATCCACAGAATGGGCTGCTGACTGTATGTGCCTGGGGGGTCCCGTGAGCGGGGAGTGAGTGCGACCAACAGTGTAAGGTTCTGAGGCTGGGGCAGGCACACAGTGGGCCCTCCATCCCTGCTGGCTGTCACCAGGAGGAGGGGCCTGACAGCAGTGGGTGGGCCATACACCAGAGGCTTGCAGAGAATCTGGTGTCAGATGAGAACAGAAAGGGACAAGTGAGGGTGGAGGTCAGGAGGCAGGAGGCAGCTGTCCACGCTGGCTGCAGCGCCAGGCCCTGGCGATTGGCTGTGCTGAACTTTGAGGGACCAGAAGGAATGCTGAGGCAGGAAAGGGGTCTCTTCCTGGGTCTGCTGAACCCCCTTGCTAGGCTCCCACTGCCAGGCTTCTCCCCTCCCCAGGGTGGCGATGGGTGGCCAGAAGCCAACCTGGCCTGCAGGTGGTGCGTAGGGAACACACGGCTTTTGTTTCATGTGATTCTGGAGAAATTAAAGCAACCTTTAACACACCTGGGCTTCCCTCTTGGAAATTCAGTCCCTCTGGCCTCTCAGGCCAACAGGCAGACAAGCCACAGGCTGCAGGTGGGAGGCAGTGCCCCTGAGCCAGGCCTGCACTCCAGTGTGGCCCAGGCTTCACCCAGCCCAGTTGTTGGCCTGTGTCCTGCCATCCCTGTGCCCGGTGGTTTTAAACGCCCAGCTCACCTTGGTGCTGTGGCTGCAGAGGGTCCTGCTGATGAGTTTCACTCCTGATTTTCCTTGGCTCTCAGCCTGAACTCTGAGCAGGTGTCAAGCGCGGTGCTCTGTCTGGATGTCCCTGACTGCAGGCCTGGCCCTCGGGCTGACTTCCTAGTTTCCCCCTTGACCTGACACCCCTCCATGGCCCCCACCTTTCCTTTCTGCCTGATCCTTGTCCATTTTTCTAGAGTTGGGGTTTCAGCAAACTTCCCAGAACATCCTAGCTCCTTGCCTACTCAGCACACTCCTGTTCATGCCTCAGAACCCACATTCGGGTTGCAGGTGCCACCTGCCTTGACCTCCCAGGGACACCTGCTCTCCTCCCCGTCCCCCAACACTGGCAATGACTTGGTGCCATTGCTCCTTTGCCCACCACTCCCTGATGCCCAGCGGAGGTGTCAGTGCCCATTGTCTCTGCCCTGGAAAGGGCAATTCTCAAACTTCACATTTAGGAGAATTATCCCTGGGAGCTTCTTAAAACACAGACTCCAGGCCCACCGCCAAGGTCCTGGTTCAGTGGATCCGGGGTTGGGCCCAGGAATCTGTTTCTGAAGCTCCTCAGATGGGAGGGACTGATACCCATCCTCCCTGGAGGAGCAGACAGCCCTGAGTGCTCCCGGTGGAGTCCTGGCGAGCTGCCCTGTGGCTACCAGGCCAGGGACTAGTGAGGAAGGGCAGGTGCACACGCCCGCTGCCGTTGCCAGGCACTTCCCTGAGGGCGCCGTGGTCCCTTCCCGCTGCGGACTCTGCAGAGGAGCTGGTTTCATTCTACCCTCCTGCAAGGGGGTGACCTCCCAGTCCCTGGCACAGTCAGGGGTGTCCTGGGGCCCGGGCGGGTGGAGGCCCAGTTGAACTCGGCCCTGCCAGACACACGCATGATTCTTCAAGTGTTTATTCTCCATCACTCAGGGGACCCCGTCTGCGAGGGTGCTGCTGCCCACCGCCTCCCTCCACTCTCACTGCCAGACATCTGTTTGCCAGGAGCCCACGAGGGGGCGTCCAAGACTGTGCTCGGAGCTTGGTGGGCAGGGGTGCGGGTCCGAGTGGTCCGTTGCCTCCCAGACCATGGGCACTGCGTGGGAAGGGCTGCAGTGCACAGCAGTGGTGGGGCTGGACTGGAGCCTGAGTGATCTTGCCTCCAGTCCCCACACCCCCCAGGGAGCAGGTGCTAGGCTGTGGGAGGGGCCACAGAACATTTCCCAGGTGGGTGGAGACAGGGTGAATCGCCAGCCTGAGACCCCTCTTGGTCCTTCAGCCCTTCTTGAAGTGGGCCAGGATGTGCCCACCACTGGCTGTGCGGGGCTGCCTGCTGGTTGGGTGGTGTGGCCTCTCCAGGCCCTGGTGGGCAGGTGGAGGGCCGCCCTGGGCTCACTGTCGGTTCGGTGCAGACTGGGTAGGTCTCCTCCCAGGGGCTGTGCGGGGCTGCCTGCTGGGGGCGGTGTGCCCTCTCCAGGCCCTGGTGGGCAGGTGGAGGGCCGCCCCGGGCTTGCTGTGGACCCTGGTGCAGGCTGGCTAGGTCTCCTCCCAGGGGCTGCTGTTGGGGGAGGGACTGTCGTCCTTGGTGTCCCTTGGGCTCCTGGGGCCCTCAGTGGCTGTCAGCTTCTTTCTCCCTCTGGATGGCTTTTTGGAGGCTATGGGAAGTGGTTGGAGGTCAGGCCAGAGCTGCGTGCCTTCCTTTGAGGCAACACTGGCTCTCACCTAGGGCCTCCTGGGTCTCCTCTGGGCGTGGGGATCTGGGTGCTTGGGGAAGTTTACTGGCCACCCTTGTTCCTACAGAAACCAGTGCCCAGAGCAGGAGTAGCCTGATCTGAGGGTGAACCCTGAGAACTGGGTGGAGGGTGGACACTCTCCCCATTGTGTGACCCCGAAGACGGCGCTGACCCCAGTGGCCCCCTTGCTACCTTGGAGGGAGCCAGGCCATAGTGGCTGGCCTGAAACTGGCTGCGGGCCTCAGGGGTCCTGCCCCCGGGCTGGGGCCACAGGGGAGGGGCGCCTGGTCCCCGAGACGGTCCGGGGATGGGGATCCTGCCGAGATGCTGGGCTCAGGCCGTCTCTGGGGCACAGTGAGCTCAGGCTCTGAGGTAAATGGGTCACGTTTGGATCCTGACCCAGCTCCCAGACCTGTGACCTTGGGCAAGTGACCTCTCCCCTCTCAGCCTCCATTTCTGCACCAGCCAAACCGTGATGATCCCACCTGCTGGGCAGGGTCGTGAGGCTCACAGGCAGCCACAGCTGCACCCCCTCTCCCGGGGCGCCAGGCACGAGGACACTGGCTTTGGCGCTGAGCTGTGCCCATGCTGGGCAGGGACCTGCTCTCACTGACCGCCATGTCTGTTTCTCAGGAACCCCTGCCAGCGTCCCTGGCCCCGGCTCAGCTAGGAGCACAAGGGGGTGCTGGCTCACAGACTGCACCCCCCGGGGCCATGTCCACCCACTCAGCAGGAAGTGCCTCGAATAAGGGCTGTGCTCGTCTTCACTGCCGCTCTGGGCAGATGCAGGCCGCGGCCGCCTGCCAGCAACAGTGGCACGTAGTGGCAGCGCCACCCTGCCCGCTGCCTGTGGGCCCTGCCTGCTGCCTGTGGGCCCTGCCCGCTGCCTGTGAGCCCTGCCTGCTGCCTGTGGGCCCTGCCCGGACAAACACCAGGGCCGTATGATTAGGTGTTCAAAGTCTCTCATGGGCTCCTGGACCCCAGCTGGAGCTGCCATTGAGCCCAGAGCAGGAAGTGAAAAGTTGTCCTGATACCCTCGGACCAGGGCCGAGGCTCCTGCCAGCCTTGCTAGGAGGAGCTGGGCCCAAGGACACTGCCCTTGGCAAACACTGGAGAGCCATCCGCAGTTCCCCAGGGGAGCAAATGTGCCCCATGTCCCTTGGAGCTGTGCCCTCTGCGCTGCCCCTATCTGCAGGTGGACAAGAGGGATCTGCTCCTCATGTCAGTGGCTTATCCTGTGCACCAGGACGCCCTTCCTCCCAGGACGATGGTGGGGACAATGACCATCCCCTGGCTCCTTCTTGCCCTGAAATCTCCTACGATCCCTAATGTCAGCCCCCTTACAGGCGAGGATACTGGGGCTCAGATTTGGAAGGACCTGACACTAGGCTACACAGTCAGAGGCTACACAGGAAGGACTCACTCTGGCTGCCCCTGCCCTTCTCTGTGGGGTTCATTTGGGGAGGGTTGAGGTTCATTTTTGGCTCCATCATTCTGAGGCTACCATTCTCCAGGCAGCCAGGAGGGGAGGTGGCACTGAGGAGAGGTGGGTGCTGTGGCTACCCTCGCCCCGCCTCTCTGCACCTGCCCCATGCTGGCTGTACCTTTGTCCCCAGGCTCCGAGGCCTGCTTCCTCTTCCGTGGCAGACCCTGCCCGTGCTCCTGGGCGCAGATACACCCGGGCCCCTCCCCAGTCGTGCTCTGGTCCGCCTGGGGAGAAGGGGGTGTGGTCAGGAGGAGGAGCACCTCCCGGCCTGGCCCTTCGGAGTATGTGGCCTGGACCCACCTCGCTGCCTGGAGTGTCTGTCTCATCCAGTTCGTCGGACTCTGGTCTCAGCACTTCAGCCTTGCTGGGCTCTGAAGGAAGCAGGGTGTAGGATCAGGCCAGGCTGGTGGCCCCAGGAGTCTCCCAAGCCTGCCAGACTAGGATAGGTGGAGACAACTCTGCAGATGGGGAAACTGAGGCACAGAAGGCCAAGGGACCTGCCCCAGGGCACCTGCTGACAGGAGGCAGACTGGGGTTTGGGCTCAGGCCCAGTGTCCCCATCAGCTGGGGTGCCTGCCCCTGGCTTGGATGCTGTGTGATGGGGTACTCAGCCTGCTTGCCAACCCTAATTGCTAAGGTGCTTTTCCCCCTCACTGAGTGTGGTTAGAGAGGCTCCTGCCGGGCCCTCAGCTTCCTCCAGTGGCTGCAGGTGGAAGAGCCAAGCCCTGGAGCCTGGAGTTGCCCTGTCAGGTCGGCAGGGCAGAGCTGGGCCTGGAGACACCTCTTCCCGGTGGTCACTGACCACCACCCTCTCTCCCCATGGGGAAAACCCCTCCCAGCTGGACTCTGACCCCAGGTGCTCACTGTACCTGAGTGGCCGTCCAGGTCAGGCGGCTGTGGGTGGGGAGGCAGCTGTGGGTGGGGAGGTGGCAGAGGCCTCCCTGTGTCTTCATCTCCTGTCCTGCCTGGAGAGGACAGGCTGAGCTGGGACCCTGGAAGTGGGCGTGAGGGGTCCTGGGGGGGAGGCAAGCAGGTGGCTGGAGTTTATTTGGGAGACTTCCCTGCCCCCAGCTCAGCCCTGGATGGCCGGTGGGACCCCTCTTGAGGCTGCAGCTGGTGGGGGGGCCCGCCTTTCCCTTTCTAGCGTGGATGAGGCAGCCTTGCTTTCTCCCTGGGAACCAACTTGGTGGGCAGAGGGAAGAGAGCAGCCCGAGGTCCGGCTGGAGGCTGGCCCGGGATGGGGGATGTGGAGGCTGAGGACAGGGTCTGAGCCAGGGCCGGGCTCCTCACCACGGGAGTGCGAGCCTCCTCCTGCTCTGGTGCTCTGGTCCCCTTGGTGCCATTGCTGAGTGCCTGGGGACTGCGAGTCAGGGGTCCAGACTGGGTGGGTGGCTCGGGGCTGGGAGTGTGGGCAGTGGCAGGGCTGAGTGACCCATGCTGGCTGGCCGGCTTGGGAGTGTCCTGGCCCCGGGCCCGGCCCCACTCCGAGAGGTCCAGGGGCTTGTCTGGGGCACAGTCCTTCGCTGCTGCAGCCTCCGTCCTCTGGGCGTGGCCTGGGCCTACAGGCTGTGTGTGCCGCCCTCCAGGCAGGCCTGCTGCTGTGGCCAGAGCTGCCCTGGCCCCCTCACTCTCAGGGCCCTCAGAGTCTGAGCCGACTGGTGGGGAGGGCGGCATCTCCCTGGGTGTGTGCTGGCCCCTTGGCCTGACACTGCCTACCCTGGCCCGAGCCCGCAGCTGCTGCTGGGCCAGGAGCAGGTGTAGTGCCCCCTCCAGGCGAAGGTCCTGCATGCCCGCCAGGGCATTGGGCAGCCCCAGCAGTTCTATAGGCTCCTCCCAGGCCTCTGCTTCTCCGGCCTTCAGGTCCTGGAGCCGGGGGTCACGGGGGGCTGCAGCAGGGGCCAGGGGGCTGCTGCGGGGGCTCCGAAGGTGCAGGGAGAGGGGGCGGTTTAGGAGGCAGAGCCGGTCCATCTTCGGGGAGTGCTTCAGGGTCTCATGGGTCACGGCAGAGGGCCAGGAGGCCCGCAGGAAGCTGTGAGGGAGGAGAAGCCCAATGACCATGGCTACGTTGAGCTGTGACCGTCCCAGTGAACCCTGAGAGGAGGAGACGACAGGCGCCCACTCCACAGGTGAGGAAACTGAGGTCCAGAGAGGTGGAGCAAGCTGCATGGCTCCCATGGCAGGCAGTGGAGGGAGGGGAGGCTCAGCCCCCAGGTCTGGAGGCCGTGCTGTGTGGACCTGGCCAGAGGTGGCCTGTGGTCTGGGCTCCAAGGCAGGGCCAGATGCCAAGGCCTCCGTGTCTTTTTGGCAGAGACATCAGCCCCCTGCTCCTCACCTGGAGGGTCCTAGCCACCTGCCCACCCTCCACACCCTACTTGTTCTCACACAATGTCCCCGTCCCCTGCCCCCACGCCCCACACCTGGCCACTCCGGAGTTGTCCACCTGGGAACTTTGCTCCAGGCTGGGTGCCCAGAAAAAGTCAAGCCAGAGAAGGTCAGGGGCTGTGAGGGATAATCAGAGGGACTGCCCTGGGACCAGGGTGAGAGAGGAGCTTGTCTGAGGCTGCTCTGGATGGGGGTGGGGCAGGCGGGTACCTGTCCAGGGAGAGGCCGCGCTCATACGCTGGGCTGGGTGGGCTGCTCCTGGCGGGCAGTGGTGGGGGCGTCCCATTGGTGGGGCCACGGTCAGCAGGGCAAGCCTGGGACCCAGGCCGTACCACGGCGATGGTCCCGTGCAGCTGGTTGGAGATGCGCTGGGGGCTCTGTGAGGATGGGTGGGTCAGCCTGGGCAAGGGCACGTGTGGCCTCTGCTGTGGCCTCTGCCGCCTGCCCTGGGCTGCTCCCACTCTGCCCCTGCTCACTGCCGGACCCACCCACTCAGGGCTGCGCCCCCACCCACACCAAATGGAGCGCAGTGGCTCCTGCCCGGGACGAAGGAGGGGCACATTCGGGGTGAGGCGCATGAGAGGCTGGCATACTGCAGGTGCAGCTGCCTCCAGCCTCCTGCCTGCGCTGGCCCAGCTGCGCATGGTGGGCTCCAGGTCCCTGCACTTACCATGTCTGGGGCCCACGACTCAGGCAGGGTGGCCCCTGGTGAGATTTTGGCCACTGGAGATGCCCTGTGCCCTGCTGGCTTTTCTGTGGGAGGAGAAGCCAGGGGTGGGAGCTTGGGAGGTGCCCAGAGGGGCGGCGGCTCAGCCCCGGGGGGAGGATCCCTGGTCCTGCAGGGGCCCAGCCTCTCAGCCTCACCCGGTCCCCACAGTACCTTCTCCCTGTAGGCCCGCTCCCTGGTGGTCTTCCTCAGCCTCCTCATGGCCTCCTGGTGGCTTCTCTGTGATGGCCTTCCAGCCACCAGGGGAGGGGAGCAGCAGGGGTGAGGGGGGGTCTGAGGTGCCCTCCTTGGCCAGGGGCCTGGGCCTATCTCTGGAGGGGAGGGAAAGGCAGGGAGGGTGAGGGAGAGTAACATCCCAAGAGAGGATCAGAAAAGCCGGGCCCACTCCTGGGTGACCCCAGGGGGCGCAGCGGTCCCGACACTGCCTGAGAGCCCCCCATGGGCGGTTCCCCTAGGGACGTGTGCCGAGTACCGCTCAGGGGCTGCTGGGGAATGGGGTGTCTGAGCCCTGGGACTCCTTCTCACTCACCCCAGGCCCCGAAGCCGCTTCACCTCCTCCTTCAAGGTCTCGTTCTCTTCCTTCAGCCCGTTCATCTCGTTGGCTGCAAAAGGCACTGATTAGCAAAGCAGGCAGGGGTTGGGGGGGACAGGGGCTGGAGTGGGGTCATCACAGCACCAGGGAAGCCCCTCAGCAGTGCCCCCAGCACGTAGCCCAGGGCCTGGCAGGCAGCAGGTGCGCCGTGGATGCTGCTGCGTGCGTGGCTGATTGGATGCCGCTGAATGAGCCGCGCTGGCCTCAAGGGAAGGGGGCTCGCCCTTGGTCATCAGGAGGGCCACGGGGCCTCAGGACTGCAGGACCTTCCGCATCACAGGAAAAAGGTCACGCCCTGTGGGGGCAGGGATGCCCCCAGCGCAGGGGAGGGAGGCTGTGTTGAGGGAGGGCCACACCAGCGCCAGCTGGGGGCTGTGTGTGTGTCTGTAGATTGGGTTGTGAGGCTCCCCCAGTGGTGTGGGGCCGATCGCCCTGCCTCCTTTCCCCACACCCCCACATGGACTGAACAGGCCCTGGGGTCGCCTGGCCCCGTGGGAGAGGACCCCGGCTGTCTGGCGGGTGGGGCTCACTGAGGATGAAGATGTGCTGTAGGTTCTGCAGGTGGGAGCTCTGAAACTCCTGCTGCCGCTTCCTGGCCAGCTCCTGGGTGACCAAGCAGCGGTCGCACAGGCCGGCCCGCAGCCTGCAGGGATGGGGACACAGGGAGTCTGAGGGACGGCATGGAAGCCAGAGGGCCTGGGACCCACCACCCCACTGCCCGGAAGTGCCCCTGCCCTTCCCAAACTATTCCGTACAGCCCCAGGCCTCTTCCCACCCCGTGGGCTAGGGGTCCCATGTTTCACTGAGTTTGGGGAGAAATCTTGAAAATGCAGTTTACTGAAGGCTCTGAGATGTCCCGCAGTGGAGAAACCTTCCTGGTTCCGTTTGTCCTGCACTTTCCCAAACTTGTTCTCCGAGGAGCCCTGTCATCTCCCCTCCCCTGAGCCCACCGGTCCTGGCCGTGCTGCGAGGTGTCCTCCCAGGCCCACCTGTTTTCCAGCACCCGAAGGTTCTCCTTCAGTGTCTTCTGCTGTTCCCGGAGCTGGTGGTTCTTGGCAAAGAGCTCCTCGATCCTCTGGGCATCCCTGTGGTGGGAAACAGCTAAGGTGGGGTCCTGTTCCATCCAGGAAGACACACGCTGTCCCCACCATCCAGCCTGGGGGGCCAGTGCCATTTGGCACCTGCAGCCTTGGTCTGGGGCTGGATCCTGCTCCATGCCCCTCACCGTGGGGACTTGCCCTTGAAGTGGGCCCTGTGGGGCAACGCTTAACCCGGCGCCCCCCCAATCATCTGCACGCCCCTCTGTGACGTCTGTCTTGTCCACGCACCACTTTAGCGCCATGGTGCAGGCAGAGCCACAGCCAGGTCTATAAGCCCGGAACGCAGTGAGCCTGCCTGCCTGCCAGCGTATGACCAGACACGACCCCAGCTCACCATGAACGTACTGTTGATATCCTGATCATGATCCTGGGGTGGGAGACACCCTGAGTAAAGGGCTTGCCCTGCCCCTGGGAGGCCAACGCACCTGGGTTCAAGTCCTGCTCACCATGTGACCTTGGACGAGTGACTCCCCCCTGCCTCCACACTGAGCCTCAGTTTCCCCTCTGCACCATAGGATGGTGGCACACCGGAGCTTCAGGGGGATGAAATGGCCAGTGTGACCCTGCGGAGAGGGGCCCTGCTTGGCCTGACTCACCGGCACCTCTCTGAGTTCAGTTCCAGAAGTTTGTTCTGCAGGCCTGGGGGAGTGAGCAGAGGGGCAAGTGGGGGGCGGTCAGGCCCAGCTGCTGCTTTTCCTGCAGCCTCCCCACCACGGGGTCTGGGCAGAGCTGCAATGTGGCACTCCCGTCCCCTGCACCCCCTGGGGGAGCCCTGCCAGGGGGGCCCCTGTCTGTGCCTAGGCCCAGGGCTGCCTGAGCCTTGGTGGTCTTGGCCCAGTATCTGTCGCTTCCCCTGGGGTCTCTGCCTCTGGCATCTGTCTGGGGGTGTCTGGGGGTGAGCAGGGACCCTGGTGCCGCAAGTGACCAGCCACCTGTGAAAGGCAGAGGGACCAGAGGGCCATTTTGTGTGTGTGTGTGTGTGCGTGTGTGTGTGTGTGTGTGTGTGTCATAGCTAGTGTTGAAATAAGATGAGCTTTTGGGGCAGACCCCATCAGACCTCCTTGCCATATCTTGGGACCCAGCCTGGGCCTGGCTAACCCCAGCAGCCCCACCTCTCTGGGTTGCCTGGGAGACAGCCAGGTCCTTGGACCTCCAGGTGGGCACGGGTGCTCAGTGGAAGGACCAGGGGAAGGTGCTGGCTCTGGGACTGGACTGGGGGTGGTGGGGGGGCTTCGGCCCTGTCCCTGGTGGGGGAAGTGGACAGGGGTGGGGCCTGGGGTGTATCCTAGAAGGAAGAGAAGAGTTGCATCTCCGTGCCTTGACATGTTCTGCATGGGTCCAGAGAGCCATAAGCTCCTATTTCTGGAAGTGGCTGTCTCTGCTGTGGTGAGCTCAGCAGGCCGGCCAGAGTGGGCTCTTCCTTCTGCCACACGGCCAGCCCCATGGGCGAACAAAGCATGGGCAGCATGCAGCCTGCGGGTGGCAGGTGGCCATGAGGTGTTGGTGGCAACCCTTGAAAGTGCCCCTCCCCCTTGGGGCCACGCTCTGGGAGTGGCTCGAGGACATCCCAGCTTGAGGTCAGCACTTGCGGGGCCCAGGCAGGGCGTCTGTCCACTTTGTCGCTCTGGGTCAGGACTTGGCTCAGGACTCCCCTGCCTGGGCTGAAAAGACAGGGTCCGTCCCCTGACTTGTTGGGAATTGGAGGTGATCATGGGTGCACCCTGGCCTGCCCCGGCTCTTAGGTGAGGGCTGTGGAGACCCCTCCCTAGCCCGGCATCTGTCCCTGGCCCCTCACCCAGGACTTCCTTCTCGTGGATCTCCTTCAGCCTGTTCAGTGACTCCATGAAGCTCTCCATGGCTCCCTGTGGCCCTGGCCCGGGCCCCTCTGCGCGGGGGTTGTGGAGATGCTTGCAGCCTCTACAGCCCCTCTGTGTCCATCCTGAAGAGGAGGGAGAGGGGACAGGATCTGCTCAGGAAGCGTTTGTGGGCTGTGGAGTCCAGGAGAGGATTGGGACTCCTTGTGTCTATGTGGAGCAGACCCCACGTCATGTGGTAGGGCCACTCATGGGAGGTGGGCTGGAGGCTCCGGAACCCCACGGGCAGGCGCAGAGATAGTACATTGTGTGGCTTCCTCCCACACATATGTGGACAGGGGCCAGAGGGCAGGGTGCTGGCTGCTGTGCGGGAGGGGATGGAGGGGCCAGGGGGCATCTAGGGGTGAGTGCCAGCCCCTCTGAGCCACCCCGTTCTCCCCAGGTATCCAGCCCATCAGTGCCTGGCCTGTCCCCACATAAGCCCTGCCCCTGGACCTCAATGGAGGGACAGGGAAGCCTGGTGAGGGCTGGATGGTGCCAGTGGCACCTGCCCAGATGTGACGCTGGGAGTCAGACCTCACCGGCAAGAGCCCCTCAGACCTGACCATGCCACTGTACACACTCCAGCCCCAACACTACGGTCACAGCGGCTCCTTCCCTTTCACTGGAGCCCTTGTACTCAGTTCCCTCCTGGGATCTCTGCCCGCCTCCAATGCTGTGGCAGCTTCAATCTTGTCACATAGGCACACACACACACATACACACACAGATAGCATGTACACACAACACACATGCACACACATGCAAAAGACACACAGAGCATGTACACACACAGCACACATGCACCGACAGACATGCACGCACACAAAGCATGTATACACGCAACACACATGCACACACCTACAGACACACACACAACACATATGTACACAGACAGAGATGCCCACACACAACACATAGGGATACATAGACATGGTTACGTGCTGACGCAAATCTGTGCAGACATAGAGACGCGGCTACACACGCAGTTGCAGGTACACAGAAACACACACAGCCACAGCAGCCCCCTCTACCCAGAAGCAGCTCCCACACGCAGAGGTCGGAGGGTTCCAGGAAGGGGTAGGAGCTACTACCTACTCCTGGCACCTCAGTGCCTTGACATGTTCTGGATGCAAGTGTGCATGTGTGTGCACGCCCGAATGAGTGTGCATGTGTGTGCCGTGTGTGTGTATGATAGCCAGCGTGCATGTATGTGTACCGTGTGTGTGCACACCCGAACGAGTGTGCATGCGTGCATGCTATGTGTGTGCATGCCTGAGCCAGTGTGCATGTGTGTGTGTGCTGTGTGTTCACGCCCGAGCTGGTGTGCATGTGTTTTTGCCCTGTGTGTGTGTGCTGTGTGTGTGCACGCCCAACCTACCGTGGAACCACTGGTGCATCACCTGAACAACTGTGTCGGCCTCCTCCCTGCCTGGCCTCCCCCTCAAACTCCCCTGAACCCCCTGCCTCCCCGCATCTCCTCCAGAACCACTCTCCAGGGTGACCATCCCTGGGAAGCTCTGGTCTCTGCTCAGATGCGCACTACTCTGCTCAAAATCCAACTTTGGGCTTGTGGCTGGAGGCCATACCCAAGGCCTCGCAACGGCCAGCCCAGCCCAAGTGGACCACAGAGGGGAGCAGCCATGGCTGCATCTGGGTTTTCAAAGGTCAACCTGCAGACGCCCACATGAGGGTCCTCTCTGCAGCAGCATTCTACAGAACCGTCCCAAACGGGACCCCCAAACCCCATCCCATGATGGGTGGAATGGCGGCCACCCAGCCCCACGCCCACCCCAGTGTGGCGGCCACCCGGCCCCACGCCCATCCCAGCGTGGCCAAACCACCCGAGACAGACTTGAGGGTGCATTGAACACAGAAAGAGGCACTTGCCCTGGGGCCCTGGAAGTTGGGTGGTGGGTGTCTTTGGGGCTGAGGCCGGGGGTGCCTGTGACTCAGGGTGGCAGGCCTTGGGACCCCGAGAGAAGTCACGGGGCCTGGGGTGGGGATGGCGACTGGAGCCCCTTGGAAGGAGACTCTCCTAATTCCCACCGAGCCCTTGCACCTGTGGTCAAGCGTGTTAGTGCTGAGCCTGGTGGGGCAGCGAGGGGTGTGGGACAGAGTGTGGCCCCTGTTTGGGGGTGGCCACAGCGTCCCCAGGGGCCCCTGACAGGGCTGGTGGGGCTGCATGGAGGGCGGAGCCTCAGGATGCTGGGCTCCAGAGACTCAGTCCACAGACCTGCCTGGGCTTTGGGACCTCCAGCCACCCTTGGAGGGAGTGGGGGTGACAGTTGGCGGCTCTGTGTTGGGTGGGTGAGGGATCCTGGGACCAGGAAGACTTGGAGCTTTCCTGGTGGGAGGCTGGGAGGGAGCCAGAACTCCCTGGGAGGGATGTCTTTGCCAGTGAAGGGGGCCAACAGGACGTTGAGCTCCAGAGGTGGGGACAGCATGGAGCCTGCCGGAAGTACGTCACGTGGCCAGCATCAGTGGTTCCGACCCCCGTTTCCCGAACTCCATACACACTGAGACCTTCCCGACAGCCCATGGAATCTTGACCACACCACGAAGACCCCGCTCCAGATGGGAAACTGAGGCTCAAACAGCTCAAACCTCCCATCTCAGTCACCCAGTGGGAAGTGGGATCTGGGTTGTGCCTGGCTCCTGGGGCTGTGGGTCCTGCGTGCTCTGCCTGTGTGGACTGGGGCATCTTCCCCATGGCTCTGGTGCACCCAGCTGCACTGGCTTTTCCTGGCCAAGGGGCCCCCGGGAGGAAGATGTCAGAGCCAGGCCTCCCTAGGCTCAAGCAGCTGAGGAGGGCCAGGAGGGGGCTGAGCTGCAGTTCCTGAAATTCCACCCGGACCCGCCCAACAGGCCGCTCTTCCCTGGCCCCCAGCACCTGCCATGTGGGCTGGGCCGACGCCCGTAAAGGAGCCGCCCAAGGGAGCCCATGGTACCTGTGGGCCTGGGAGAGGTCTGCACAGGAGAGGTGGGCTTCCTTCCCAGTGAAGTCACCGTACTACAGAGGCCGGGACTGCGCCTCTGCTGTGCTTCCCACTCACAGGATCCTTTCTGTGCCCCAAACCACCTGCAGGCCCCGCCTGGCTGCCACCTCAAGGCCCCCAAAGGACTGCAGAAAGAGTCCCCATCCCACTGGGCAGGGAACGGCGCAGACACATGCCCGGAGCAGGGCTGGTGGGCGTCTGGAATCGCTGTAGGGTGCACCCTGCTGGGGACCCTTGTTTCCCAGAGGCCCAGAGTTGGGGTGGGCCTGGGCAAGGCCACTGGGCCCGGTGAGTGACAGTGCCTGGGGCTGGGGGGACTTCCCTCAGGGTGAGCAGGTGACAGAGGTGCAAAGTGGCCAGGATCAGTCTCCCAGGCTCCGGCGCCTCTGGGACAGCCCCAGTCCCAGCTTCTACCCTCCTAGAGTGCTGGAGAACTCCGGGGAAGGGATGGGAGATGGAGGGAAGTTGCAAGCCCTGATGCTTTTGGGGAGAAGAAATGAACCGGGATTGTAGAAATTCACCCAGACCTGCGCCCGCAGCCTTGTGCCGGGGGTGAGCAGGGGAGTCAGTGGGGCTGACTTTTTCTTCCGAGTCAGCGTTCTTGGGGTTTGTTGGGCTTGCCAAGGGCAGCTAGAGGTGCTGAGGCCGGGGGAACCCGGAGGGAGGGTCTCCTCCAGGCCTGGGTGGGGGCTGCAGTGGGACTGTGATGGGGGAGCAAGCCTGCCGAGGTGGGGAGGGGCTGGGCTGAGACTCTTGGGGGGCTTCACAGGGCTAGGGTGAGACAGCTGGGCTCTGGTCCAGGGTAACCCTCAGCCACTCCTCCCACTCCCAGCCCTCCCACTCTGGGAGTCCAGGCTGGAGGGTCTCTGCAGGTGCTGAGCCCCCTGGAAGGAGTGAGGGAAGGGGAGGGCAGGCTAGTGAGCCGCTGTCCCACCTGCGGCTCACAGCTGGGCCATGGGAGGGATAGGTGTGAGGGGTGCATGGCTGTCCCCCTCGACACCACCCTCACCCCACCGTGCCTTGCCCTCTGCTCCATTTGCCACTGAGAACATGATCCAGAGGTAGGGTCTTGCCCACAGTCAAAGCTAGTGAGAGCCGGGCTGGGCTTTGGCTAGCCTCCTGCGGTGAGGTGCTACTGGTGCCAGCACCTTTGCCTTCCAGGGACTGCTCCTTAAAACCAAGAGGCGACGTGCTGCTCTCACCAGTATGGAACAGAGCCCATCCAATAAACTGGTGCCTCTTATCCCCCAGCCAGGACCCAGGAGAGCCCTCCATGGGGAGCCTAATTAGGCTGGCAGACCACCTTCCACCTCATGTCCTCACCCAGGGAGTGGACATGCACTGTGGGCCCTGCCTGTCCCTCAGGACTCCCACCTCCCTCTGAAGGCCCCCAGAGCCCCCACCTGCCCTCCTAGGGTCTCCACCCACCCTCCTAGGGCCATCTGGAGTGGCCACTCAGAGCGGGCAGAGGTTTGCTGTTGTTAATCCAGCCTCACGGGTTCTCAGAGCCCCAGCACAGAGGGTACACCCCCCACCGCCCGCTGAGCTGGCTGGGGTGGGGCAGGGGTCGCATTCCTGAAGGGTGCTGGCTGGAGAGTCAGTCTGGGCAGAGGGTAAAGGTGTGGGCTTCCCAGTTGACGGCCCTGGTGGGGCTCTCGGACCTGTCTCTGGTCTCTATGCCACCTTGGGCAAGTTGCTTTTCCTCTCTGAGCCTGTCTCCTCACCTGGGAGTGAAGGCACCCCACCCCTGTATCGGGCTGCTTAGAAGCTCCTTACAGGTGGTGCCTGTGCGCCCAGGAGCTCCATAGACGGGGGTGCTCAGTGAGCAGCGGAGGGAGACCCCGAGTTCACCTGTGCCTCCCTCATGTGGGACCCCGGGTGTCCAGCAGTGCTAACAGCAGGACACTCTGCGCTTGGACAAGGTCAAATCCCATTGCCACAAAGGCCTTGTGCAGGAGGACGCAGCCCTCCCCACACGCAGGGCGGAGGTCCGGCTGCTGACAGTGACGACACGCATCCTCGGACGGCTGCTCACTATGGACTCCACTGGGCTCACGGCATCTCTGTGGCTGCGCCCAGGAGAGATGCCACCTGCCTCCCACACACAGGCCAGGGAATCACAGGCCCAGCCGTGGCCCCGGCAGGACTGGGCATTGTCCGGCCAAGTGGCAAAACCCGCAGTGATGCCTGTTCTTGCCCTGTCCTTTGGGAGGCCAGGCCCCTGAGCATCTCTGCGTCTGAGCAGGCGGCATCCAGGGCATCACCGGGCTCCCCGCCTCTCCCAGGGCACTCAACCACAGAAGCTGCCTGGGCACCAGTGCTCCAAGGATATCTGCCGGGCCAGCTGCTCTTCACCCCAGCCACTGCCCCCCAGCAGGCCCTTCGGGGTAGGAGTGCGGAGCTGGACACTGGTACCTTCTGTCTCTGAGGCCTAGGCTGTCTGTGTGTCCATCTGACTGACTGCCCACCTATCCAGGAGCAATGGTGACGGGCGCAGCAGTAGCAGTGGCAGTGGCAGTGGCTGCTGTTGATCACATGCTGTTCTGTGTCAAAGTTGCTTTTCCTCTCTGAGCCTGTCTCCTCACCTGGGAGTGAAGGCACCCCACCCCTGTATCGGGCTGCTTAGAAGCTCCTTACAGGTGGTGC